TAATATCCCTAGCAAGGGATACGCCCGCTTCCCTTACTACCACCGCATATATCTCAGATATCAGGAATGAGGTAAACCACCCTAGGCTAGCAGAACTCGCCCTACATACTTGGCTGCTTGACACCATGGAAATATTGCTATGTGATACATTATCGTCCTTATTATTGTGTTCTCCGCAGCAGTCCTAAAACGGCACGCTTCGCACGTTGGACACTTCTTAAGTTAGCAAGTCTCCTGTGGATAGCCTCTGTGTACATCTGGGCTATATACCTGGCCATCTAGCACTAAGGGAATTTTACCCTACGCTGCGTACGAATGTATACATCTCGCATTCTAGATGCACCTGGAACATCTACACGCTTAGCAGAACAAATTTGCTCTATAGATGCACTTTTCAGGTCATCTTTTTGGGGCTTACCATTCTCGTCGTAATTATGATAGGCTCCACTGTTGCGGTCCCACTGATTAGATGTATAGCCAAAGGAACAAGCGTCGAAAAATAGAAAAGAAAGGCATATAATCTTAGCCTTGGGTTCCCGGCAGTTTAACCTTGTTCCCTACTGGGTCTCTGATTTATGGAGCCTTTACCATGGTTAAGGTAATAAGGGCATTTAATCATGATAGCGAGTGTCCTATGGCATTTTATTTGGAATGCAACGCGTCGCATATTATTTTCAGTCCATGGAGGCTCTATTTGAATGCTGCATACGATCCTTCAGTACGGGTGGCAAAGATGTGGTTCAATGCATGAATGCGCAAATTTCTGTTAGAATCTTGCCAATATGCACCTATATAAACAGGATAAAGTCTGCCGGGTGGGGTCAGGATCACGGAATAGACGTCAGCACGGGCTCAGACTCAGTGATCATGTCCGGTCCCATCACCATTCTGTTAGTCGCTCCTAGGCTGATAAGATGTTCGGCCAGGATCTACGCCGGTTCTGCTCTCAATATGCACTAGTACTTATAGAGTAACCGAATTGTTATGTGCGGTGGGGGATCCCCGCGATCGCTACGTGGCTGAATCAAGCCATGTACTAGTATTCGGGCGCCTGATAAGTCGCTTGATCTGTCAGATGTAGTATGCCCCTACGGCCCCTATGGTGTCCCGATTACCGAGTCCAGCAGTTCTTTAGAGTCTTTTGATTTCTTTTGAGCAATGCCGTGTTTTCAATTTTTCCACCTGAACTTCGATACGCATGTTGATACTGGATACGCCATCTAAAGAATAGTGACCAGTCTGACATAAACTGGAGACTGGTAGAAGAATTTCTGACGTTGTATTTTCTTGTAGGGGATTGATAGAGACACCACCCTTTGGATGCTAACGTATTTCACATACGAGCTGGACACCTAAGCGAGCTGGACGCCCCACCTAACCTAAAGAGTACTGATGTAAAGACAAGGAGTCTAATGTTCACAGGATAGAGCCTGTCAACTAGGTAAGATGAAGATTGCCTGCGGGACAATGATAATGAATCTAGAGACCGTGGGGTCATGGAGTAACGGTTTCGAAAAACGCTGGGTACTCGTCAATGCTTGCTGAGACCGTCGATGGTGAAGAGAACCTCGATAAGCCATATAATTACACGCTGCCTGGCTGGGACTTCGAGACCAGTTTGAGCCTGGAACGGTCGCACACCAGTCACCTTCTGGCATTCTACACTAAATAAGTAACATGCGTCATATTACTGTGTTGCGTACTCCGTGTTTTGAGGCTGAGATTCTCAAAATCACTGGAAACGAACTCTGCTGATGCGTTGGCGTGGCCCAAGTTAGGAACCTGCTGTCAACTTGTGTACAGAGCTTATGTATGACTCGTTGGCCTGCCCCGCTAACTGCGGGTGATGCTTTGGCGCTGACAGAGCTCATAGCGAGCCGCTAATTTCGACCGGTCAAGAGAGGATGAGAACTGTACTATTATTATCTTCAACCCACTCAAATAAGCATATCGGTCGCAAGGAGTTCAAAAACAAAGGACTAGACAAGCAAAAGTAGCGCTGATCTCCGTTGGGGCCAAACCGAACTGCGAATCAAGTCTCTCAATTTGCGCCACAGAAAGGGCGCCCCAGCATATAACCCTAATCCTATTTAGGAAAGGCAGATGCAGCACCAATCAGCGCGTGTATTTCAAGTGTAATTGCGCCAGGATCTGTGTTTGTACGGTGTACAGCCCCATGTGTAGAGCGATCGGTAGGGCCGCCATCACTCCGTAACCCAAGTAGACTCGTTCATGCCAAGAGTTAATGGCCCCATTTCTCAGGGCCATAAAGCTAAGCTATCTTAGACAGGCCCGGGCCCTTTGGCTATAAAGAGGCTGGGCGAAGTCCGGTGCGTCTTGCGACTAACACTTTTCCTCACGTACCAAAGCTTTTGCATTACAACACAACAAGATGAATCTGCGGTTAAGGGAGGAAGGCGGCGGAGAATGCGAGCTAGTGGGAGAGGAAATGGCCACACTGGTGGGCAACGGGGTGAGTAGGCACTGACAAGGAAGGGGAATTTTATCTGTACTAAGCGGAGATAGATTATTGTAGGATTTGCCGGCCAAGCCCTTTTGTCCCTATGTCTGTCGATATGGGTTTTCTTTCTAACGAAACACGGCAATATGGACATCACGCACCCAGAAGGCTCTATCGAGCGCGAGGTCGAACGCAAACGCTTGGACTTCGTTTCTAAAATCCTAATGGTTGGATCTGATTTCCAATCGACGCTTGGAATAGCATATTTGGTCACTACGTTTGCACAGGTACGCTGAATATAGGCACAATAATTATATTGTGCTCTATCATCTTGTTAGCTCCGCTGACGCGCCTACTATCCTCTCGCAGGTATCAATCATGGACACATACCACTTGCATCTCGTATTCGACATCGCCAGCTTTGTCGGAGTATCGAATACAGCAGCTCTCGTTTGCTGGAGATACTGCCGCGCTAAAATCGACGAACCAGACATGAAGCTTCATCATGAGCACAATATCCGTATCAGCTGGTTTAATAATCGCTATCGAGCCGTTTACATTTTCGTCGCACTGTACCTGGCCCTAACCATTCTCCTTGGTATCCGTCTCAATGAATGGGCACCCCATCAGGAACCTGGCCGTTGCTATTATTCGACACTTGTCACAGATCCATCAGACTCACACCCCACCGCGGACAAGTACTATGTGGGGTTCACCAGTGCCTGGCTCATAATTGTTGTCCTTGCGAGCGTTTTTGCTGGAGTTAAGAGAAGACGTACTATTCTGGTGCTGTCATCGCTCCACTTCCCCTTGCACCTCTATATGACGATTGCTCTTCGACAGGCAAATCAAGGCAAACTTGAGGGAAAGACAAGTCATGAGAATGAGTGGGACTTTGGCCAGACGACAGCTGTGATGCTTCTAGTGATCACCCTTGTGGAGCTACTTCAGAAAGGGAAAGAGTACTACGATTTTGAGAGCCATGTGGCTAAGCATGGAGTGCCCCCTAGTGCAAATTACCGTGCAATCCAAAGGGATGAGGAGGCTAATAGGAGCAGCTCTCTCCTTGTCAAGGGTTCTGGAGACAAGAACATGGCCGAGGGCAGGCGTTCTGCAATGCAGGAGCACACTTCAAGTTGAAGACCCAGATGCATGCACGCCATAAGTGTTACCTGGGATCATTCATCATCCTTTATATCGGCTTTATACATTCTTAATAGGATATGTTAGAGCTACATACGATAAATTATCGGAAGAGCCATATTGGCTAGCAATACTGTGTTAAGAATCTCATGCACGAATAGCAGCTAGAAGAACAAACATGCCCAAGACTAGCTAATTGGTTAATTCTGACTCTTGATCTCAAGCAAGGGCTTCTAACTAGGAACGACAATTCTATGCAAACCCCTTCCGAGGGGATTTTTGGCAGTTGAATGAGCTAAAAAGACAACAGGAAAAATGATGCATCACAGTCGATATTGGACTCAGGCGCAATTTGAGCACATTTGCGCAAATTACATCTTATACAACCCCGCCAAGCAACTAGATCCAGAAAGCGGATATTGGACTTCCCATTTCTTAAAAACTACCTTTGTTTAACCCGTTGGAATTATGCCTTTTGACTTGGAGGGCGACAAATGGTCTTGGTAAGAGCTCACTTTTCCAATTTGGACATTACTGACCACATGGAAGTGAATCATGTATAAGAGGCCATCGATCTTCTAAATGTGCACATTTCGATCGTCCCATGAAAAGAATACCCAAAGCCGGGCGCCCGCTCGCCAATTGCACCCATATCAATGGGGCGAATTGTCATTGTCGAGAAGTTTGGGCGATCATGGTCCCACTTGCCCCAGGTATACCATACTGGTCTCTAGATTGACTTCATATCAGAGACTGAAATATATTGTTACCTTAGGTTCGGTGCTTTGCAAACCGTACTACCACCAGGAGGATTTATTGCCTATTCACGATGGTTCTGAACAAACACCTTAATGATGTTTGGAAGAGACGATCCATATGACCATAATTCCCACGTGGCGATATCACGAGAACGAACGGGGCTTCCTGCGTAGATGAACCCATGTTTATGACTTGATTTGGACTATACTATGATTTCGGTACTTTGCATGGAGCATTTTGAGAATACTTGGGAGAGACCTTTCTTTTACTTGTCTTTTGTTGTCGGACCTGCCTCTCAGTTTCCTGCCCCCACCTACATACTACAAATATAGATGAGATCATATCGAGCACCAGAGGAAAAATTATCATTGAACAATCCGTCTAGACAAGCTGTTTCCATCCATGTTATTATTCCAGGTCACATTTCCGAGCGTGGTGGAGCGTCTTTGCGTGGGATTCTCTAAAGACCGCAAATCCCCTCATCGTTGATCAGTAAGGAGCACATTGACGATCGTAGGATACCAAAGGCCTTAAAATATCGCCCGTGGTATGTAGCCATCTTATTGAACAATACACGAGCCCTATACATGCATATACCGCGGGAAAAAAGTACAATCCAAAACTCCTTACAATAACGTCAATGCATACACAATGGAAGGATCTCACGGTAAGAAGACTCCTCTCCAGGATAAGCCCCCATCCCAGAGGGATCTCTCCTTAGGAAGAAGCGCTCCAGCTGTAAAATCCTCGAGGGTGCACCAAGCGATCGCTGTTGACGATGAAGCATAAGCTTCCTGAGCTCCATATCCAACCGTTCCAATTCAACCTCCGCCTTGGACAAAGTAACCAGGAAGAGGCAAGCCTCGCCAAAAATGAAAATCACCGCCACCAGACGAATGCTATATCTATGCGTAGACAAAAAGCTCCATATATCAAACTCGGATGATGCGCGGCCACCATATTCCCAGCTATAAGTGCGACGTCTGTTTGTGAATGGGGCTGTCGTTGTATCACTCCAGTGAGAGTAATTAGACGGTGCTCCCCAGCCGATTCCGTATACATCATATGCCGCGCGCTTTTCGGGATCCGAAAGAATCTCGTGTGCGGCGACAACGAGGCGATACCGCTCTACTCGTTCTTCTTTGGACAAACTTCCGCGGGAGGAAGCCATGTTCAGGTCTGGATGGTAGGTCTTGACCAGGTCATAGTATCTTGCCTTTAGATATTTTTGGCCTCTTTGGGTGCCGAGTATATCGTATGGTGTCGGGTTATTCGTCGGTGGCCAGGGGGCGCGAGAAGCATAGTTGCGCTTGCATGGGGCATCGGAGTTTGTATAATGGAAATGAGTTGTTTTTCTAATAAAATTAAGGGATCGGATCGGTGATATACGATACATAGTTAAATGAGGCTGTATGCTTTCAAGTAGCTGCTTTGAGGTAGCCTTATATGAGCCATGGTGCGCTATTTTCTTGGGTTGAATGATACCCCTCTAACATCATTTCTTTGAGTATGCATAATAACTAAATGACCAGTTATGCCGCCAGTTCCTTGTGAAGAGGGGGTACGAGTGGTAATGAGCAGGTTTGCGATGCTTTTCTCCCCTTGCAGCTGGAACGTGTAATGCAAATACTGCATGCAGCACAGGAGAAGAGCTTGGTTAGCTTGGCTGACGACCAGAGAAAAGAAGAAAAAAAGAGGTTGGATTCTTGAAGAAAAGCTACGGCTTTAAACCTGCCGTGATTTCGAGAGGATTCAGTGCCCAGGTACCGTATAGTGCAGGTTAATCTCACAACTTGTCCATCTGCCCCGCCTCCTCCGAAAACCGATAAACAATATCCCCAAAAGATCCAACAGCAAAAACATAAAACCACCTCAGCACTCCATTACCCGTATTAACAATCCCATGCTCAGCATTTCGCGGAATAAAAACAGTGCACCCGGCCTGCACCCGAGTGGTAACCCCGTCAACAGTCATATCGCCTTCACCGTCGAGGATATAATAGATCTCTGCTTGTTCATGACGATGCGGACAGAGCCGGCCTGCTTGAGGTGGACATGTTGCTATGCCCGCGCTTAAGTCTGTTGTATTGGTTTGCGGGGCGGAGATTAGGGTGTGCCAAGATACATTGTTGTTCGATGGTGAGGGGAAGGTTTCTGGAGCTGTTGTTTTGGTGTAGTTTGCTGGGAGAATTGTTGGTGGCATTGTAATGTAGTGAGAGTAGGAGGTGGTAAAGATTTGTCTTTTGGTCTGTATGCGAAATTGATTGTTTTATATACGTCATCCACTTTGGCTTGCGTGGCACAGGAGATGTTATCTGATTATAGAATGTAGGTCCCTAATGACCGATAGTCCCGACTGGATCTGTGGGAACGAGGGGCTCTTCAATCTCATACAGTACTTTTCTCGCGCCGCCGCATTTCTCTCGGGTTTCCTAATGTAGTGGATGGTATTATTAACCTTGGAAATAAGCACAATAAGACACGTAATCATTAGCTGCTACCTTAGTGAGGGCCAGGGACTCCAGCCTGGGCGGTCTCGGATTTTAATTTATTACTACATTGGATGGTAAGTACCAATCTCGAACAATCCCGTAACTGCTGTTGTCCTAAACGAGAATCTTTCTCCTTCGGCTACTATCGCACGCCTTTGATCCTTCCTCCCCTTGCTAATTTAAGAATATATCTTTTGAATACTCATATAAATACCTATTCGAATATTCACTCAAATATCAGCGGGGGCTAACACCCTTAGGTTTGATAGGCGTAGCAAGTGAAAGCCGTCTTCTACCTTCACAACCTTCCCTTACGACAATAGGTCCTTACCTGGGTAATTGCAAGCGTGACAAAAGACCCCGAAGAAGAAGTCCGAAAATCTGCTATGATCACGCTTGGAAACCAGACCCACCTGCCAGACAAGGCTTTTGAAGCCATGGTCGATCATGTCACAAGTGACCCGCAAAAGTACTCCTCAGCTGTCTTTGATTTTGCAAGTCCGTTTTGCAAGTCAGAGAAGATCCTAGACTATCTAGTATCTCTGTTGGACAAGACGCAAGATTGAGACGACCGCCGCGCTTTTGAAGTTATTATTGCCCTGGAACAAAGTCTATATTCCCCGAAGACGTCATCAACGCTTTTTTATATCAACTAGAGGAGAAAGAGTGGTCAGCCGGAGTCAAATACAGGATTCAACATGCGTTGTTGAAGCAACGCGTTCATTCTATGTGCTCTAGCCCAAAGATTTTGACGGCTTGCTACCAATACTTGCTGGGAAGGTGTTTCGATAATCAGTTCGTCTTATACATACAACATAGATCAGTCTACATAGCTTCTTCACAAGTCAAAAAGATGTTCTTACCCGCGATGGACGTGGAAGATATTCAATCGTTGCTTTTAGACCAAGCATCTAAAGCGGGAAACCCCGTGGCACAATTTTACAAACACGATCCTCGCCCAGGGTAAGAGACTTGGACCAATCGAATTCTCGGTAAATCAACCTGCGGGCTTCAGGCCAAGGGCGTTCAACATAGCCTTCTGATGCCACCTGATCAGGTTCCGATGGGGAACATCCTGCTGCGACAAGGGGGTTGTAATGGGTCTGGCCTGCAAGTTTTCCTGTACCAATCCTTACTTTTGAAATGAAAAGAACGGTAGCACCAGTGTCTTGCGTGCCTCGCAGCAACATGTGGTGCTTATGCGCCCTGTACTTCCATGGACTCCGAATGACCTTTTTTCGCCTTGACGGGATCAGGAACAACGTTGCTGCCATAACTTTGTAATATGACACATCGAGTAGTTTTGTACCCAACTGGCAGCGCAACCAGGCCAGCTATCAGGACCTTGACACCGTTCGTAACTGGCTTGGTGAACAGCTATCCAGCTTGGTTGATCCCACCCGTGAATATGTACCAGCCTCGATAAACCAAGGCAAGGGACCAAAAGTTGCTTTGAGAGAAATCCTCTATTATCTGGTGATCTATCTCTCTTTTTGTGTCTCTTTTTGTGTATCTCTTAGCTTCGTTTTACTTGTTTACTGGCTGATCTTTTGAGAACCTAGCAGCTTAGATATGAAAGCCTTACCCAAGGAAATATACCACATGGCACGACCTAGATAGCATACACCCTAGGTATTGCGCAAACCGGTCATCCTTAGTTGACAGGGATATAGCAGTCTCAGATTTTTAGGTTTATATACCATAGCTCTGGATACCCACCAAAGTATGAGCGTAACTACCTAAGCATATCAGACAAGGTTCCCTCATGTAGCTGCACCTGACTAAGGTACAATAGATAACCCTACAAAGCGGTAACAAACTCCACCTAAATACAAGTATATATATCCATTCGGCGAAAGAGTCGAGCCTAAAATATATATAGAAAATGGCTTGAAAAACGGTGAAAGAAACGCCAATATTTGATAGAGTACGATTCGCTAGCACCCCTAACCCCTACATGGGCGATGGCTTGTAGATGTAGACATCTACGGAAGAGTTGAAATTTGACATGTGACATTCAATCAAGTTGCTATAGAACCGTGGACAGCATACCCGCTGATGCACATCTAGAACCGTGCCTAACCTATCCCCAAACGCCACGAAAATGACCCGAAGACGATAAGGATAACTATCACTCCCTCCGTCATCAAAGATAGACCTGATCAGCCATAGGCATAAAAGGACGAAATTACCAATACCACCAAGATAAGAGATAAGATGCCATAAGATAGGAATAGAGTATGAGCAAGCAAAAGAGCTGGTATCAGAATTCGGACTGAGGAAACGGCAACGATCCCAGAAAATAGAGATAAAGATAGAGAGATTCAAAAAAAACAAGCTATCAATAACTGCGCTGGAGACCGAACACAGAAAAGACAGAGAAGCAAAGGCGCGTACTAGGGAGAAATCGCCCGGAACGACATACCAATTCAGTAAGGCACATGAAATTACCCAAAACCCAACTCCAAACACGCGAATTCCCCCGGGAGACATGTTTAAAGGAGGAAAAATAGAGACCCGGGAGAAGGGGGTATGTGGCTGGGGACTAGCTGGCAGAAAGTTGGGATCAAGAATCACGAATCGCAGATCATGTCTAGAAGAAATGATGTGTCGTGGTGTAATCGCAGACTAGTTGCCAGGATAGAAACCAGACTGAAAGGGAAAGGAACATTGGGGGAAACACCAGCGTGAGAGACCTTAACAGATAGCCGAATAGGAAATGGACATGACAGACATCAGACATGAAGATTGAGACATGAAAATAGGGAAACGCAGATGGAATAAGCAACATATATTTGCGGGCTGAAGTGATGCATCCGAGGGCATGTACAGGACAAGTAGGAAAATGTATGCCAGATCAAGACTCTATGATCATGCAGTAGGAGATGAATGAAAAACGTAATCACATGTCAAAGGTATCGTCAACGTTGAAGATTCCGGGTTCCGTGCCATCGTGCGTCTTCTGAACGCCTGCCATGCGCTGGTCGACCGAGTTGCCGGACCGGTGCGATCGCTGGTACCCGCCGTCATGCATCGCATCTTCTTCCATGTGATCGCTCACATCGTCCTTCAAGTGGTGGTCGATGGAGCTTTCGTTGACGAAGGTGAATCCCTTGAAGTTGGCTTGCATTCCGGGGGACAGAGGTGTGGAGCCGGGCATCAGGCCGTTGGCCAAGGCAGCTGCGCGGAGGTTCAGCGAGTTGTTGTTCTCCAGCGCGTTTGTGAACTCCGGGTCAAAGTTGGAGGTGTCGGTGTCGGACTGCAGTTGGGGCTTGAATGGAGGGATCACCTGTTTGCGGCACAGTGCCTCCCAGTTGATGTCGTGGAAGAATGGGTGAGCCATCAGCTCCTTAGCATCACCATTGGCGCCCAAGCGGTGCTTGGGGTTCCGGTTCAGCAGACCCTTGACAAAGTTCCGGCCTTCGGTGCTAAGGGCATCTCTGGGGAATCGCACCTTGCCAAAGGCAATGTTCTTGTACATCTGTTGGGTGTCCTCGGCGTAGAATGGACTCCATCCACAGCACATCTCAAAGACCAACACTCCCAGAGACCAGAAGTCGACCATCTTTGTGTATCCTTGCTCATCAAGTAGCACCTCAGGGGCTAGGTATTCAGTAGTACCACAGAAGGTGTTGGTAGTGTCGTTTTGTGTCAGATTGGCCTTGGACAAACCGAAATCACAGAGAGCGACGTGACCGTTGGCATCCAGCAAAATGTTCTCCGGCTTGAGATCACGGTACACAATGTCATGGTCGTGAAGATGTTGCAGAGCCAGAATCAACTCAGCAATGTAGAACTTCGCCCGGGCCTCCTGGAATCGGCCCTCACGTTGCAAGTGCCAAAACAGTTCACCGCCGGACATGTAATCCGTGACAAGATACAGATCTGTCGGGGTCTGGAAGGAGAACTTGAGGCCCACGATGAATGGAGATGCTGTCATAGCGGTACGCACAAGAATGTTGCGCTCTCCAAGTGTATGTGCCACTTCCTTCTTCTGAATGATAACCTTCTTTGACAGAACCTTCATAGCATAGATACGCTGAGTGTCCTTCTTCTTGACCTGATAAACCTGACCGAAAGTTCCCTTTCCGATCAGCTTGAGGATAAGGAAATCGTTCGGCCCAACCTGCTTCCGATCCGTCTTCTCAAAGTTCATCTCGAGGTGGATTTCTCCCGACACTTGGTTGTCTCCGGCGCCACGGGCGACCAAGGGGAACCACCCTTCTAACCTGCTGTGGTCTTCTTTCAGATTGATGCAGAGCCGTACGTGACCCAGGAAAGCTTCTTGGTTGTTGCGGTCGTAAACTGTGACATCAAGCTCTGACTGGTCTCCCATAACATCACTAAATAAAATTAGCGGACGATTTATATAAACTCATTTTAATATAGAGCTTACAAAGTTGCCTCGTGATCCCAGTGGGGGTCCGTGACAGGCGTCCGTCCCTTGTGATCGCCATCCACGGCACTGTTGTGACTGCTCTGTCGGCTCTTCATGGGAATGGCCATCGGTCGGCCAGCAGCAGCCTCTTCGGCATCCGACTCAAGCTGGCGTCTCTTTGTTTCTTCCTCACCATCACGAGCACCTTTGGAGATGTACTCATTCCATTCAAAAACACACACCACATAGGGATCGAAACTCGGCCGCAATCCACGACCGTCGGTAATCTTCACAAACAATTTACCGTTGATTGGACGTGTGGGTGCACCGTTGGCAGGAGATGTAGATGTTGCAGACTGGGAGGGGAATGCCTCGTCGAGCTTCATAGTGATCTCATCAGTGGAGCTTTCCATGTCGTCCGCGGTGGATTCTGGTTCGGGCTCTTGCGGAGCTGGCTCAGCTGGCGTGACTGGCGTGACATCCTTTGGCTGGGAGGTTTGGACCTCGTTGGACATGGCCCTGGGGGTAAGGGGCGGGGTGTTCTTAAGACGCGACCCGTCGGGCGCGTTTCCAGTTAGCTTGGCCAGATTCTCGGAAGATACTGAAACACGCGGTTTCTCATGGTCGAGGAGGGGAGATTCGGTCAGGGAAAAGGCATCTGAGGGGAGAGAAGGATTGGAAAAGTGTGTGGCAAGGACGGGGTCGTCAGAAACGCTGGAGACTGGAAGGGAAGTTTGACGGCGGGAAGAATCATCGGGGGTTGCGGGTGGAATGAGGTAACTCCTCAGGGTATTAAAGATAGATGAGGTGCCTGGACTCGTCCCGAGTTCCATCTCATCTGAGTCGTGTTGCAACAGCGAATGAGGAGGAGTGGGCAGGCCAGCAGGAATAGTTTCCGTCATCTTATCAGACCCATTTTCCTGCTCCATCATGACAAAGGACTCGGAGGGATCGGAGGGTGGGAGCGCATTTGATTGAGGGTCCTCAGAGGATTTCGACAGGCATGACCAAAACCGCGGCAAACTCGCTTTATCACCAGAGATAGAACCAACCTGGAAGTAGTTGTGCATTATGGAAGGCAGACGCTTGTCCGCAGGATCGGGTTCCGGTGTAGCGATCCCAGTCGGCGTAGGGGTTGACCCATTTGACCCGATCTGGTCCTGATTCTCGTCCTCCGATGTAGAACTAATGAGATTAAAAATTAGCCATCTGCTTGGCTTTTGTGGTCCGAGCAAGAAGTTCTCCCCAAAACTCGTAGGCAAAGTCCGACCAGAATCGAGATGTAGGAGAGACACGGCAGAAAGGCCTCGAAACGTGTTTCATGCAGGTAAAACCCAGAGCGACTGCAATGCCATGCGGTGTGAGGGGATGGTCCCTCTGTCCTCTCAGCAAGAAAGAAGAGAAAAAGAACTTACGGGATTGGCTTCATTGCATCGTGCAATTCGGTTCCGCTCGCCATTGTGATTCCATTCAAAAATATCAGAGGGGGCGGGGTTGGGTTGAAAATTGAGGAAGGCAAAAATTGGAGGTTGACTAAGGAAGTTTGCGGGTTGAACCCGAGCCCCAACTAGATTCGGTCGAGTATCGAGTATTCGAGAAGTAGTGTTGAGGAAAGGTTGGAAATGCTGGAAATGTTGGATTTGTTGGAATCGTTGGAATATGCAGGAATTCTTGCTTCGATAATCCACCCTGAGATGTTCATTCACCCATGTCTCCGCGCTAAATGTCCCTTGACCGAATGACCAGCTGAAAGAAGCTGACCATAAGCCGTGAGATTATAAGAAAAAAGAAAGCCTGAACAACCAGAGGTTTGAACGCTTTTGTATTTTCTATGCAGTCTATTTCCTATTTCGAAGAGGCAAATCATGGGAGGGGGAAGCCAAAAGGGAAGGCATGGTGGATACCAGAGTAATATCAAGAGAATGACTCGGGATCTTGTACTCGATTTCCTAATTAGGAGTCTCTACCATTTCCGTACACTTTATGGATTTAATTTCAGCATTAACATGGCAGATTAGATTCATTTGTCCAAGGCACATGGCCCACATAAGTACCAGGGTTGGAATCTAGAGGCTGATACATGGGAATTTGGACCTCAATAATGCTGGTATATTCGAATTTGGTCTCTTATCGCGCTCGAATGCATTCTCCGAGGGCGGGGTACTGTGCGATTTCATCATCTGGTGACAGAGACCGCTTCTTTATATCCGGAGTAGTGTTTTCCGTATACTTCCTCCTTCCTACTGTACGCACTGTACATACACTGTATACTGCACACTGCACTTATAGCCCACAGGACAGACAAATATTTCATCGCCGTTCATACTGTGAAACCATAGATCGAGGCCGATCTACACAAGCCGATCGCGATCGTGGTGCAGCCTTTCAGCTTTGAGCTTGGAATATGGCCCGGCCCTCTAAGCTCCCCTTGCATCTGCAAATATGCTGTGGTCACAAATGCTCCAAGGCTACCAGGCTACCCTCCACATGCGTCATCGGTCCCTCACTGCTACACTAGCACCGACATAGTCCGGTGGAGCTCACAACCAGTGCGTCAATTGTGCCACAGATGTGAGCTTGAAGCGCTACTGTACGGAGTAGTAGATCGCCTTTTACTTGCACATCTCCAAATTTGGTGGGGAGGATCGGCGCTCGCCTCCCCTCTCGATTGTACATGTAAAACGAATGGGAAGGCATGGAAAAGGATATCCTGGCGATGCTCGACCGGGTTAAGGGATCTGATTATTCGCATCCTTGTCTGGGAGGGTCAAAACTGTATACATTTGGATGCTTCGGTTTCGGGCTTTGCTGCAGAATAGAAGCATGCAGGATTCGCAAGGCATTGTCCTTCATGCACCAGACCGAGCCCGAGGCGCAGAGGGTCATCTGCGCTGTGTCATGATCTGCGGCCCTGTCAGCAATGTCTTTCATCCACGTTGTCAAGACTTCTATGATTGCCATTCGGCTTTCCTCGGTTGGTGAGCCGAAAGGAAGCCTTGACGCTTACTTGGGACCGCCAGTTGCGCCAATCCAAGATGCCTAGAAATGGAGGCCCAAGCGCGGAGAACATGTTGCTAATCTGGGAGCCCAAGCCTCTTCACATGTGAAGCTGAAGATATCCAGTTTCCAGTCAATTCACAGAAGTCATAGGTTACACAACTCATTCTCCGCGTCATCTACGTTCTGTAGAAGCTGTATAACTCCGTAGTATTGTACGTATTCGGGAGAGAACGGTATACCCAGTAAGTAGATTTATTTGACAATGTAGATCTATATGAACTCATAATGGTTCCAAATTGTCCAGTCGCACAAGTCTATGATATCAAGGGGAATTTGAGACGGCAACGGCGGTTCAAGGCCTAGAATTGAATTCAGGTTGGACAGCCCGAAATGCTCCGCAGCGAAGAACGGAGCCTATGACGTCATGCAGTTAGAGGTTGCAGTGAGATCACGTGCTACCTCGACATCTTTATTACGCAATCAAAGTGATGGCCCGGAAATGACTCACTTATTAGTAATTGGCCTCTCCACCGCCTTCCTACGCACGTGATACGGAACAACATTCAACCGGCAAAACAGCTACGCCTATGGAACCATTTGCGCTGAAGCGTGTTGAACCACCATCGCCAAAATGCCACGCAAGCTGAGGGCAGCTGCCCAAGCGGCAGCGGAGTCAATCAGTAAGTTGATCGCAACCCCGCACCCCTCAACGCCTCAATGCAATTCCTCCCTCCACTTCACATATCCCTTTAGGACGCGTTCGCGATTAACAATATACTAGAAAATGTACCTGTACTTCCTGAGGGCTCTGACGAGGAAATGGTAGATGTTCCTTCGTCGCAAGCATCCTCCCCCGTAGCCGAAACCGAGGAACCACACGCGGAATCCCCCGAAGAGGATCAAGACGCCGAACCTGAGGTTGAATCCAAAATTGAGGGCGAACCTGAATCTGAAGCTCCTGTTGAACCTCAAGCCGAATCCCAAGCCGAAGGCGAAGGTGCTGAGGCTCAGACTCCTGCCGAACCCAAGGCAGATGAAGGGACTAGCGTCGCAACCCCCGGAGACAACGTACCCCAACTTGAGGCAGGTGATACTCCCAACTACGGTCCTGGTCGCCCATCCGTTGTTCCTAAAAAGCGTCGCATTGGTCGTCCACCCAAGAACCCCCGCCCTGAGGACACCCTGGATGCCGACGGCCACATCCGTGTCACTACTCCAGTTAGGAGACGCCGAGGTCGTCCTGCTGCAAGTGGAGGTCGCTGGGCTCGCAACCGTGGTCCTTCACATCTCACCCAAGTACCTGTCGACAAGGAAGGAAACATGATGGATGTCATCAACGACGAAGTCTCGATCCCCCCCGACCCTATTGGTGCGACCAAGGTCGACCAGGACGGTCACCTTCAGGGAGGTCGTGAGTATCGTGTCCGCACTTTTTCGATTCTTGGTCGCGGTAACCGTCTCTACATGTTGTCGACTGAACCGGCTCGTTGCATTGGTTTCCGTGACTCCTATCTGTTCTTCCAGAAGCACAAGATGCTCTACAAGATTATCATTGATGACGACGCTAAGCGTGACCTAATTGAACGCGATCTGATTCCCCACTCCTACAAGGGTCGTGCAATTGGTGTTGTCACTGCCCGTTCTGTGTTCCGTGAGTTCGGTGCCAAGATTATCGTTGGAGGCAAGAAGATTATCGACGACTACGACGAGCAAGCTGCCCGTGAGCGCGGCGATGTCGAAGGCGAGTTGGCTGTCCCTGAGGACAGAATCCCTGGCCCTGGTGAAGAGTACAACCGCAACCAATACGTCGCCTGGCACGGCGCTAGCAGTGTTTACCACACCAATGCGCCCACTGTGCCTCTCGCCGGTGGCAAGCCCGTTGATACCAAGAAGCGCCGTGTCCCCGTGACGGATGACAACTGGATGTTGGAGCATGCCCGTGCAGCAAGGTAAGTTTAACAACCCATGCAAACTATAAACTTTCAACTAACCCACTCTCCAGCAACTACAACCATAAACTTACCGATATGCGCCGCACCAACCTGAAAGGTGTCTATGAAGTCCACACCAACACGATGCAATATCCCAAGATTATGCAGCCAACCCACGTACGCTGGGAAACCGTCCCCTTGGAATCCGACGCCCAAACCGGACTAGCAACCAACATGTCCGAACTCAACATCACCAACGCAGACAGCCCCGAAAGCACCAACGAACTAAACAACGACAATCCCGCCACAGACCCCAAAACTACCACCAAACCCGCAACAATCTTCCCCCCAGTCCCCCGATCCGTCACAGACCGCTACGTAGTCCAAGACATCGTCTACGAATCGCCCCAGTATTCAAACATGGGAATCCCCGGCCCGGACGGCGACCTCCAAGATATCGGCTACAACGGCATGGTCAGCGTCGCCAACCCCACAAACCCGGAGTTCATGACCCCCGAGATCATCGCCCTCCTCCCGCCAGATTGCAAGGAGGCTCTTCTCGACGCTGCTGCCGCGGAGGTCGAGTGGAAGTCCAAGTGGGGCACGGAGTCGGAGAATGGTCAGCGTGCGAAGCCTACTAAGAGCTATGCCTGGTTCCCCTAATTCCTGATCTTCAACTTCGGACCTACGTCTTCAATTCTCGTTCTCGGTCTGGCATGGTATTGGCATTCTCTGGGATTTTCTTCTGCTTTTGATTTTGATTCCTTGCGCATCGGCGAATTTCTGGATTTGGGCTGGATGGACATGGCTGGCGAATTACTCGTCATGGGAGTTTCCTTTTTCTTTTCTCTTTTTCTCTGAGAGTGCGCTCTTGCGATCTCCATACGGGATGTATTTCTATCTCAATGATGTATCTGACTTATCTCTTTCTTCGGTGTTGCCTTTGTGCTTGCATTCGATTGGATCTGAGATATGAATAGGATAATAATGAAACATTCAAAAAAGCTTCTTTTTCATATGCTGTAGAGGTATCACTTAAGTTAACTTATATTAGGTGCAGTAGTGCTCTAGTGTTCACGACGGAGCTACAACTTAACGACGTTATAAATGCAATCCGGAGCTGTGATTAAGATCTTAGCTTACATAAAACAAAGAATCAAGATAACGTTAATCTAAACGAACTCCATTAAAAGAACAAGCCAAAATGGGACGGGAATCGAAAAAATCGATTAGGTTTGTATTGAAAGGGTGTTGAGGAGTGGAACAGCCAGATAGAAAAGTGATAAAGCAGAGAGACAGAAGACAGACAGACCAGGGTGCAATATCGGAAGATACCCCAGCCAAAATTGTCTCGGGGAATGTAATGGAGAGAATAGAGAGGAAAACAAGAAAGGAGAAAAAGAAAAGTAATCCCGGTCAGCGCCGGGACAAAAGGCAGAAAGAAGAAAGAACTGGACAGCCGGCCAAGGGACTTGCTTGAGAAAACGGCCGGTCATGCATGCGAAGGTGAGACAAGGATCAAGGATGGAGAAATAGAAGAAAACAATGCTGGGGCTGCATGGGTCGCGTGACTGAAACGAGAGGGACTGTCACATGGCCATTTCCGCGCGCAGCTTTGCCAGCTCGGCTTCTTCGTCGTCTTCCTCTTGTGCCTGGGCGGGTTGTTTGACTATTATACGTGGTCAGCGAATGATATATGCAATAGATAGACAAGTCCAACATACGTTCTGTATTCCCCGCAGCTGGTAACCGATCCAGTTGAGCGCCAACAGGTACAGAGCCAGTGTTGAGCATCTTCGCATCCATAGCCTCCTGCTCGAGACCCTCCAATTCGGCCTCGAGATCTTCCTCGTCGGGTTGTTCGCCGAGCGGGACACTGGTAATTGCGTTTCCGATTTCCGTGTGGAGCGCATGCTGGTCCTGGAGATCCTCCCTGCATAGACATTAGTATCAAACCCGCTCTCAAGAGCCGCAAGTACCCAAGCGGTTCGCTGTATAAACCCGATAAACACATACATTGTCTTGTCGACATCCTCGAGCTTCATTCCACCATGGATCTGCTTCATCGCCGCACCGGCCTGCTTCATCGCCTGTAGAGTCTCGTGGTTGATATTTGCCGCTTCGATCGAGTATATCTGCTGCTCGAGTTGCATGGTCTGCGCCGTTGTCTGCTCAAGGTTCTTCTCGTGCACCTTTTTCCGTCGAAGGGCGTTCTTAGCAGCTATAGTTTCGAGATGTTAGCCCCGGTTCCACAACCCTCCCTCTCGCTGTCCTAAACAAGCCCAGTAGACCCACCATTTTTATCAGAGTTGATGTTCTTCCGCGCGATCGTATCCTGCTCCGAAATCAGATTCTCCAGATGTCTCTCCCGCTTCTGGAGCATATCCAGCTGTCCCCGCAGCGCGAGGATAGCATTCTTAGGCGCTTCCTTGCGCTTCTGAGCGGCGGCGCCGCCAAACCAAGACCACATATTGGATCGGCCTAACTGGCACTGAAAGTCGGGGAAATAGAACAGAAGCTGGGCAAGCTTTCCGTATTATGTTCAAAGAAGCCAGGCAGCGCCGAATAAATCAAGAGAGGCGTTGACTTGTGTCGCACTAGTGGGTTGCTGCAAGTCAGGTGGAGGTGCGATAGGCTCCAGGCAAACTCAGTGTGAGCCAACACAGGTGATGGTAATGGGATGTAGACCGTAAGGCCTCCGAATGACCAAGAAGTTGATCGGCACGCTGGTCGCAGAATGTCAGGATAATCTGCTGAGGAGGGGAGAGATCCGTCTTTCCCCTCGGGCCTATGACATACACGGTAAGATCGGTCACGTGCGCTATCAAGATCGTAGATGTTGTGATTATCTTTCACTTCAATTTTGTCACTTTTACGATGTCGACGGCCTTGGGCCTTTAATGCTGGAATGAATGGGCCGCGCCCCTCGAATCGCGTGTTCCTCTCTGATCTCTCTTCTCTACAGGCGGACTCGAAGGTCCGCTTTCTTGGCTGGTGCGTCCGGCCTAGCAACTATGGATGTTATGCATGGAATTGCAATTAGATACTAACAGTGATCTCTGGCTTGTGCTCACATAGTGTGAGGCATTATATCATCGCCACTGGCCATCTGGTTCTGGAACACAACTATCCACGCAACAAGGCAGAGTTCGGCTCTGTATCTGTCGATATCAATGCGGTCCTTGAGGACCTGACTGCGGAAGAACTGCGTGTGGGGACGTGGTTGAATGTGCTGGGCTATGTGAGAGAGTCACTGCCGCCATCGTCTTCTTTTTCTTCAACGCCCGAGTCTAAGCAGTCCGGTGATACAACTACCGGACCTGTCACGGTTCCCTCTCGCCCGGTGCATGTCGAGGCTGTTGTGGTATTCCCAGCTGGTGCCATTGCACTCGGAGAGTATGAGAGGATCCTTCGCAATTCGCAGGATGTGGAGCGTATGATACAAGTTACCAATTGAGATACCAAGCGGTGGAGCCAATATAAAAACAAAAGCTATAATATTATTCACCTGGTCACGGCTTCACAGGCCACTGATATATTAAACATTTCTAAGATAAAAAAGCACTTTTACAACACCTCAGATGCAAGGCTCGGGGTATCAGATACAAATCAAAGACCGAAAAAGACCAAAGACCCAGACTAAACAACCCCAGCCTGCTTCTCCTCATCATTCTCCGGAGCCAACTGAGCCAATCTTTTAGCCCTCTTCCCCTCCAACTTCTTTTTATCCTCCTGCATGCGCACAATAAGCGCACTGCGCTGCCGGATCTTGTGCCCATACTTGTAAAACACAAACGGAATCGGCACAATAACAACCTCCAACAAACCCAGCAACGTCCCCGACCAATTAGGTCCAAGACTAGCATACATATACGAGCCCACCAGCGGGAGCACACCACCAAGGATACTCCGAATAACAGAGTTTCCAGCCAACGCAGAGGCAGCATACATGCCATAACTACCCGTGAGGTAATTAGACGCATAAATGAAGACACCGGTGTTTCCCGCGCCGAAAGGAATACCCGCGAGCAGGGGAGCGATCCAGTGAATCGAAGCTGGGGAACAGGTCCAGGCAAACCAGAGCTCGCCGATTGGGATGAGCACTGCGCAGAGGCATATGAAGGAGACCATTGCTTCGGGTGGTGGCTTGCCTGTTTCTGGGTCGACGGCGTGGTTGTTGATTAGGCGGCGGATTAGAGGTTCGCAGGCGATTGTGAGGACTACGCCGATTCCTATTCCTAGGAAAGCGAGGCCTGATAGTCCCAGGTCCCAGCCGCGGATTTCTTGGAAGACGATTGGGTAGGCTACAAAGCAGAGGTAGAGGATTCCGTAGATAATTGCAATGTAGATGTTCCAGAAGATACTGGTTTTGGTTAGGTTTTTGGTCTGTTGAGTGTGTGGTTTGTGAGAGGAGGGTAGTTAGGGCTTACCAAATTGGCTCGGTGACGGCCATCACGAATGGGCGGCTGAGGTTCAGCTTGAGGATCTCGTACAAGCCTGCCTTTTGGTCGTAGCGGCACCACCAGCGAGATTCACCGCTTTCTTTGCGGAGTCGGGCTGCTTTCTTTTGGAGTAGGGTTGGTGCATATGTTTCTTTAAGGAGGATAGCGAAGACCAATGCGATGGCGGACAAGATGAGCACGATCCAGTCCATCCAGCGCCAGCCTAGATATTGAGTCACGAATCCTCCAATTACAGGTCCAATAACTGTTTTGGGTTAGAAATTGCTCGACTTGGTACACGGGGAGCGGGGACTACGAACCTGGTCCATTCAATGGGCCAATACTCCAGATAGAGATGGCCAGCGCGCGGTGCTCGTCATCTACCAGGTCGGCGACCATACCAGGAGCAGTGGAGATCATGACACTGCCGAAGAAAGCACCAATGAAGCGAACGACGATCAATGTCGTAACGGATTTTGCAAGCGCGCAGGGGATGATCAGGACTATGAAAATCGATAGGCAGATCACACAGACGGGTTTACGTCCGTACACTTCACTGAGCGGCGCCATGAACATAGATCCGATGGCGAGACCGATGAGATAAAATGTCAACCCGAGAGTAACGATGGTTTCGGACTCGCCGAATTCCTCGGCAATCACGGTGGTGCCCGAAGTATAAGAGGTTGAATATAACACGCTGCCGGGCGAGTTAGTTCGATATTCCCATCAGATCAGTAACCAGACAGGAAACTCACACGACGAGAGTGTTCCATGCCAGGAAAAAGATTCCCATGGCTTTATACCCTAGAGTCCAGTTCTTGGGGTTCTCAGGGTCATCTTCACCCTCCCAGTCCACCTCGTAGTTAGGGTCGGCAGTGGCATTGGTCATGATAGTAGTCACTCGTTCCGACAAGGACATATGCGAGGTTCGTGAAGCGCGAGCCGTCAATGTCTTTCCCAGAGCATCGTGATCATCGTGCGTTTCTACCGAGGAGATAGACTCGCCGATGGAATCGGTATCGGTGTTCTGGGGCCGTTTCTCGGCTTCCGAATTGGGATGTTGAGACATCCCGAGAAGCTTTGACGGGCAATAGAAGGTTCGGGACGAAGCCTTCTTTGCAGAGATCTTAATGGCAAAGATAAAACAAAAAGCTAAGACCTGAGAGCGGAAGAGAAAGAGCAATAGTCCAATTTACATATGTAGCAAGAAAAAGGAATATCAAACGTAAAGCTGGAAATTTTTCAAGCAGTGGGGCCAATACAGTGACAAGCATCTTCTTTATGAACTAGATGCCGAGTGACTGAGGACCTCGGAATGAAAAACCAAGGGGTCCAAGAACTGCTATATTGGCGTATGTTTGGGTGTATCAAAATGTATCAGATGGCGCAACCTTCCTGCGCAGGTTTCCCATCCTATAGAGATGAATACACTGTAATATGGATACTTCCCCATGGGACAAAGACTCCCCATAGTGTAGAGAATCGGTTGAACACACTGGGTCTATCAGGCCGGAAGTGGATTCCCCTCGGGCAGCTTTAGCGTGCCGGTTTGCCGAATACACTGAATGTCTCCATTACATTCGACCTATAGGTCTATGCCGAGACTGTAGCGGGGTAATATAAGTTGTAGGCATTTGGGGTTGACACATGTTCCATGTCTATATCCATGTCTACATGACTTAGTTGCATATATGTACATGTTCATGCAGATGGCAAAACGACGGAAGAGAATACATCCCGACCGCTAGTTGAGAGTGGAACCAAGCCGAGTTTGCAATGTGAAACTGGAATTGCGATCAAATTTGAAAAGGGGCGAAACTTAGCGGAATGTTCCGCCATGCGTGTTAGCGTTAGTTTCGATCTACGCATCTATCTATAAGAGCCAACATCCCCGTTGCATGTACGTTGGATCTTGGAGATTTTCATTTTCTGTCAATAATGTTGGTAACCAAATACTCATGTCTCGGGTAGAGATAACCTGGATTCCCTGAAATATATCTTTGAACAAACGAACCTGTGTGACAATGTCAAGATGTTCGCTTGGAGCAACGGGAGGGTCTCAGGTCGCTCGTTTAAAATAACCGAGATCTAAGCGACCTGCCGTTTTCGATCCGATCAGATGTTAAATAAATGAAGAAATTGAACAGTTCAAGACTTTTGCATTGCAACATTCTCATGGGGCCGGGTCTTCAATGATCGGAGCTTCATTTTAGCCCTGTACGCCGCAACCCTCCGCTCTTGCAACCCTTCAAAACCTCCCTCCCTCAAGACTCTACAGAATAATCAACCATGTGGTTACTGGTAGGCATCTTGACGCTCGGCGTCCTGTACATGTGGCGGATCAACTGCGCCATGAAGGCAGTACCAGACGAAGCACGACAACTATCACCAAATCGCTGGACCGTCGAGGAAATCAAAGCAGCATACAAGAAGAACATGGAAACTCCTATCGATATGACCAAACACCTGCCACCAAAACAGTCTCGTCGATATGTGATTGTGGGCGGAACAGGTATGCCCCGGATCATTTACAAATCTCCCCGTTTCAACCACGACATAAGAGAGAGACTAACAAATTGTAGGCCTCGTGGGAGCATGGATTGCCAGCCATCTCCTAGCCCGCGGCGAAGACCCTAAAGCGGTGCGTGTGCTAGACCTAGCCCCCCCAGCCCAAGAGCTCCTCGACCATGGTATAGGCTACACAAAAGTCAACATCACCAACGAGCTCGCAGTGGAAAAGGCATTTGAAGAACCATGGCCAGCCACAGCTGCCAGTCTCCCTCTGACAGTCTACCACACGGCAGCCGTGATTCGGCCTTCAGATCGCTTGCAGAGCATGCTCTCACTATGCAGCAAAGTCAATATCGACGGCACACGCAACGTCCTAAGCGTAGCAAAGAAAGCAGGTGCCTCGTGCTTCATCTGGACATCCTCTGGGTCAATCGGAATCCATAGACCAAAGTTCTGGATCATGCCATGGGCCACCGAACCCAAACGCGTGGTCCAAGTTCTCAACGACGAGGCCAAGCTACCAGAGAAGCACGAAGAATTCTTCGGAAACTACGCCGTATCCAAAGCCGAAGCAGAGCGTATCGTCCGAACAGCCGATGATCCAGAGAACAACTTCCGCACTGGATGTATACGCCCAGTAAATGGCATCTACGGGACAGGCAGCGAGAACAACATGGCCATCACAGACATCTACCTCCGCAACGGTGGCAGTCCAACGTAAGTCAACAAACTCACCCCAATCCCCAGAAGCCGCAAAACTAACATAATCGAAAACCAAAAAGCTGGGCCTCCCCCATCCTCCAAAGCTTCATCCACGCCGAAAATGTCTCTCTAGCCCATCTCCTTTACGAACAACGCCTAATCGAACAAAGCAACCCATCAAACCCAAATCCCAAAACAAGCGGCCAAGCATACGTAGTGACAGACCCGAACCCAGCAATCGCCTTCGGGGATCTGTACAAGCTGTTGTCAACCCTATCCAAAACCCCCGTCTCATTCCCAGCCCTGCAACCCGCACCATTCCTCCTACTCTCCTATATCGTCGAGGCATATGCATTCCTGCGCTACAATTACCTGCACTGGCTGATACCCGCGATCCCTAAGGATCTGGAGCAGATCCAGCCGGCGCTTTTTGGGATTTTGAATATTCATGTTTTTGGGGATGATCGGAGGGCTAGGCTGAGTCCTGAAGCTGGAGGATTGGGGTATGCGCCAGTTATTTCGACGCTTGATGGGATGTGTCGTCGGCTTGTTGATTGGAATATATTGGCTGAGAGTGAGGGGGTTCGTGTTAAGGGGGTTGTGCAGCGGTTGGGGATTGAGGTTGAGAGGGAGGGGGTTGATGTCAATGTTGTTGCGCCGATGAAGGTTTAGTTATATTGTGGTTTCTATCGTATCTTTGAGCGAGTGATATGAAATTGAATCTCGAATAGGGAATGTGTGGCTAAGGAATTGGGTTGGTATCTCGGGACTTGACTACAGAAGATAGAATTGAAAGAGAAGA